GAGAGAGAGAGAGAGAGAGAGAGAGAGAGAGAGAGAAGGGCTGTTCTAGATCACCAACGTCAAACTAAGCCAGACCAACAGAGACCTGCTCTGACACAATGACAAGAAGGAAGAGGCAAAAGATATGCCAACAACTCTTCCAGCCACTACACTGCTTTCACTCTCGCCTCTGGCGGCGGCAAGCCCAAAACCTTGCCCTCATTGAAGAAGTTATTGCTCCTTTGGGACTCATGGTGGTCACCACTGAAAGACACAAGAGACTCACCGGTGAAGCTAACTAGGGGTTCAAAGCAAACAGACTGAGCAGGGGTGAGTGAACTTAATGTTGCTTCTGCAGCTGGGTTCATGAGAGACATTAACTTGCGAAGTTGTTGTTCCCCCTTCCCAGTTCCAATAAACCCTTCCTGCGTAAGCTGGACAATGTCGATTTTATGGAGATTGGTATGGTCCCAGCCAGAGCCGGCGGGGCTCACAAGAGCTAATTAAAGGTTATATCTAATGGCAGGGTTTCAGGGACTGCTCTCTGACATGGGGACGGTCTGTACCAAAATGGAATTTTGAGAAATCTGCCATGGATTTTAAGTATGTTGAGGCTTTCATGAATGAATGCAATCTTTGCTGTTTTTAATGGAGATCAAACAGGACAGGGGAATATCATAATCGTGGGCCATAAAGGAGCAAGATGTCTTCACCAAATAATAGTGATCTTATATTTTATTGTTAGATAATCTTTAATAAAAGTTCAGTTTGCTCTTGAGCAAGCATTAATGATGACGAATGGAATGATTAACTCAGTGTGCATCCTCCACCCACCCAGCTCAATTCCTCAGTTTCCTTCAGCCACTCCTGAGGTAACATCTCAATATTTCAAAGCTTCTGTTTACATGGCTTCAAGATTTTTTCTCTTTCTCTTTTGTCCTTTCTTTGTGAGTTTTAATTCTTTCCATGTGTTTTTAGTTCTCTAAAAGAATAAAGTACTGTCAGTTTTCTTTCCATCCCTTCGAGTCTTCATTTTCCCTTCAGGCTCTTTCAAGAAGTGCACCAGTTGCGCCAATAAAGTCCCACTATCAGACAGTGGGATAAAGTCCCACTATCAGACCTCCAAGTGCTTTTACTGACTGACTGACTGACTGACTGACTGACTGACTGACTGACTGACTGACTGACTGACTGACTGACTGTCTGTCTGTCTGTCTGTCTGTCTGTCTGTCTGGGAGAACAACAAAGTTGCCAGTTCTTCAAAAAGCTCACGAAGATGGCCTTCAAAAACTGCCAGTCAATACTGAAAACTTGGGACAAATCAATTTATGTGGTCACTGCTATCTCTAAAGAAAAGGTTTCCTCTAAAGTAAACTCCATCATGGAACCTGTACAGTTTCAACCTGCTCCTAATGTCCCTCAGGACAATGTAGCTTCTTGAAATGTACAAGTTCAACAACATGCTGTTACCATTGCAGATGTCTCCCCTTTGACACTGAGACTGCCTAGTACCATACCGCTGACATCAAAGCCTGAGACTTCAACATCAAGGGCTACTAAATCAGTATCCAACAAGAACAAGAATGCTAACTTATCCAAGCCATCAAAACCTCAAAAGGACCACCACGTAAAAAAGAGGCTCCGTAACCAATTCATCTGCCTTCAACTGCATCTACAGGCAAAGTTGCTGACAATTTGGTTTGTCTTGGTTCTGCTTCCAATAATAATGAAGTTGCTTCTCGGTCTCGATACACTACCTCTTCTCCATTCAGCAAGTCTCTTGCTTGGAGGTTGTATCAACTTGGGCATCCTTGACAAGCTCCCCTTCATCCAGGCCAGCCCAGAGCATCTTAAAGAGAATGTACTGCCTACACACAGTCTGACATCAAGCCGCTCCTGCCAATCTTTATCCAGCTCTGTTTCTACCATCCAAGACATTTTGCCCCTGCCTCATAAGACTCACCAAGACTCAACACATGGGTGATCCTCACCAACCTGCAGAAGTCTACTGCCCTCACTTCTAAGGCTCCATGCCAAGATTTCTATATGGACAAGACTGGTACTATCCACCTTCACAGAGGAGGAGGATTCACATTTCTAAAACCAACCAACCATGTATTTTGGGGCACAGAGACATGCAACACCCCCAGGGAGGGCAAAAATGTCCCACAGCCCCATGGAAGTTACTCACCTCTGATTTAAAATATCAAGAAGCCAAGAACAGTAAATTTTGGTCTTGCAATACAGTAAGAACATGCAGCACCATAAAATCACCAATTGAGTTTGATTCTTCCCTTTTCAGAACAACTGCACATGGAACTGAAATGTTGCAATACATTGTGGCCTGCCTTATAATCTTGCAGTTCTTGACCAATTCTGTTCTCCAAGTCCACAGTTAAAAAAAACTCCCCTGCATTCTTACCAATGGAGCTTGATGTTGGCCCAATCTCACAATGCTCAAATAGGATGACAAAAAGATACAGTAAACAGTTCAGTTTATTCTTGAGTATCTTCTGTGTGACTAGTACAATTGTTATTGAGCAACAGCATATTAAACATACAGATGATTAAGACAAATAAAATTAACACATGATCTAAGTACTAGTGTTCTTACGTTCCCTTCTTTTATTTCATTAAGAGGACACAACCAACAAATAGGCACTGGAAGTTCACACATTTGTTTTCACTTGTATTCTGCAAGACAGGCAAAAACAGGTTCTGTCAGAACATAAGGAAAGCTTGGTCTCTTCTCATATAACATGAGACAGAACTTTATCTCTCCTGAGAACAGAGGTATGTATATGGATTCTCATAAAAACCCAACTGCGTTTCACTTGGACTTCAAACATTTTCACAGGAAGTAAAAGACCTAGGTTTCTCCTTGTCTTCCAGCAGAAGCTGGGAAGGACAGGCTTTTATTTTTCCTGGTTGGTAACACAATTATAAGTAAATCAGAGGTTATTGGCTTTTATCTCAAGACTCTCCTCTGCAAAGAGAAGGTATTTCCACTATGGAGGATACCATTCTCTTCCATCAGAAAAACAACTCTGAATGGTCCCTCAACTTTTTAAAGTCAATTTGAGGCAACAGCGGGTGAAAATCATTGCCAACACCTTCCATTTAGGATAGTGAGAGCTTTGGATCTACGGTACACGAAATGGAAAAGTATACTTGCACCCAAATTTTTTTTAACTCTCACTCTGTTTTATTTTTCAGGGAATAGGCTACAGTTACACCAAGTAGTGAAAAAAAATGGTAAACAAGATTATATGAGATAGTTCTAACTGAAGGAAGGAATCTGCATAGACACACTCTCCACTTGGTTGTTTTGGCAAAAAGGAATATAAAGAATTCATTTAAAAAGACAGTAAGTCATGAAGAAATGTTGCCTATGTCACATCCATGTATAGACAATCAGGTTTCTTAATTTCAAGAGTAGTTAATAATAGCACATGATTAACTAATTAACATGATGATATAAAAACAAATTTTACACTTTAGCATTTAAAAATAGTTGAGTAAAAGGTAGCATTAAAAATGCACCGCTCAAGCAATTTATATGTTGGCTCTACCGGGATTACGGTAAACATGTTTAAAGCTGTTTTCAGTTACTATCCTGGTGTGAAGGTGGTTAGGGATCCATGTTTGATTCTCTTCCCCAAAAGCACTTTATGTCCAATTATCCAATTATTGCTTCTCAATAAGATGTTTACTCAGACATGTAGAGACGGTACATAAGAGCCACGATAATTGCAGCTATTGCTGGAATCGCCCAGGTACTCCAAAAACTAGAAGAAACGAGAAGTTATCGTCATACGACATCCAATATCTTCTAAAAAAAGAATTACTGAAAACTTAACTTCAGTAAATCCTCACCATATTTGCTTTCAATAAAAGCAGCAGATTGTAACCTGGCTTATAACCACACCCCTAGCCAAACACAACAGAGTATACAGTTAAGCAATGAACTTAATTCTTCATATAGTGATTAATAAAGAATAATGAAGATGTCTTTGTAAGCCGCCCCGAGTAGACGTTGTCTAGAGGGGCGGGGTAAAAATTGAATAAATAAGTAAATAAATAAACAAAGCATGAGCTGAGAGAAGGCATATCTGCATTGAATCTATACTTGTCACACAAAATAAAGGATTTTTCTTTATTGGACTACATCACTGCTGGAAACACAAACATGATTTTTTTTTTGGAGTTTCATGGTTTGGTAGAATAGTGGTGAATAAAATGAAGATTTTACCCATAATATCCTTCTTATTTATGATGTTACTAATAGAGATAATGGAAAAGGAGATAAAAGTCTGGCAAAATATGATTAATAAAATTTACATTGGAGATAAAAAGACAAGGAGTAATAAGAAGAGAATACAGTGGTCCCTCGCTTGACGACGTTAATCAATTCCAGCGAAATAGCTGTAGAGCGAAATCGTCATCAAGCGGGGAAAAAACCCATTGAAACACATTGAAAACCACTCAATGCGTTCCAATGGGCTAAATACCTAATTGTCCAGCAAAGATCCTCCATAGGGCGGCTATTTTCCGGTGCCTCTCTTGTGAAAAACCCGTCCTAAAAACAGTGGGGAGGCATTTTGCACAGCGGGTGGCCATTTTGACAGCTGCCGATCAGCTGTTTTCAGACCATCGTTAAGCGAAAATCGGTTCCTGAAGCAGGGAACCAATCATCATTAAGCTAATTTTACCCGTTAAAACATCGTTTTGCAATCACTAACCTCATCATCAAGCGGATTCGTTGTTTAACGAGGTAATCGTTAAGCGAGGCACCACTGTATATAAAGCTGGGACTTCCTAATTTAAGGGAATACTGTAGTGCCAATCAATTGATATATATGAAAAATTGTTTCACACTCCAATACAGAAATATGGTGGGGTTCTAATATGTAATCATTAGAATTAGATTCAAATTTTGAGGACTTTCTTTTTAGACTATCGAGTAAGAGCAGGGCTGAAGAAACTGAAAACCCTTTCCTTAGAAATATGTTATTGATTTGAAATAAGAATAGAAAAAAACCTTAGTCCAACAACTTGCCCAATCTGCCTTATAAATTTGAGAAATTTGGTGAATTTAACAAGAATTTAAAAAATTTCCCAAAAAATTGAGAACTATGGAGAATTTATTAAGAAACAAGCTATTAGAATAAAAAATGGGTAGAAAAGATGGGGAATGAAGAGCAAATGAAAGTTATATTAATAATGTAGAGAGTATATTGGATTAATCTTATACAATTAGAACAGTAGACAAATGATTAGACAAATGATGAAGAAAAAATAAGAAATATAGAGAACTTATGAAATTTGTTGCAAAAGGAAAGTGTAGACGAAAATAAAATAATGAAAGGCAAAAATTTGTATCAATATTTGATAAGGAGCAATGTAACTGGTCAACTAGGGAATTAATTTCAAATTTATACAACAGCAAGAGTAATGATAGCTAAAAATTGGAAAATAAAAGTATGATTTTCAGTTAAGTGAATGGTATAAAGAAATATGGAATACAGCTTTTAATGATATGCCAGCATGGAGTATTAAAGTACAGAAGGGGTTTTAAAAAGTATACTGTTAAAGATGTTTGGGGAGAATATACGTGCTAATAAAGGGGAAGAGAAGTGCATTCTTGCTCGAATTGTTACACTTTTTTAAGGGAAATGGGACTCCCTGAAGGAAGAACAACTGGTTATATCTCCAATGGTCCTGATTTTTTTGGGGGGGGGGACCTTTGATGCAGCTGTTTTGAAGTTATGTGTTATTAGTGTCTTTGTCAGGTTTTGTAATATTTTGTTATGTGTAGAAAGTTTTGTTGTGGTGTATGTTTGTTATTCATAATTTTTTAAAAAATTTATATGAACACTTTTTTTGGTCAAAAATATCCAAATAAGTTAATGTTCTAAAATGTAAATGATTTGTGCACTTTAATACAACACAAGAGCCTAATGCTCTACTGGTCACTACTTGGGAAAAATATCAACCACTGAATGGTAACCATTGTGTAAATCCCATTGATTCAGTGGCCTTAGTAACTGGACTAAAGGCAAGGCTGTGCTGATGGATGCCTTTTTATTCACAGACTCCAATCCATCAAAGGCTTCTGCTGAAGAGATGGGTCTTCTAGCAGTCTCTCCTTGCCCTGTCACTGCTGAACCCCTAAGAACCTGGTCCAGAAGGCCAAGAGACCAGCTGGGACAGCATGGGTGTGGTACCAGGGGCTACAGAGGAAGGAGCATTAACAACCACATCCTTCCTTATACCTTCTTCCAGCGGAGTATCTCACAAGAGAAACCCTTCAAGGATTTCCAAACCACACAGACCGGCATGCTTGCAATCAGTGGAATAGCACATACCTGAAAATGCCTAAAAAATAATTTAAAAACTGAACCCTAGATAATATGCAATCAGTCCATCGTGTACTTAATGTATATAATCCAGATAATCTATAGAAACCATTAGGTTGTTAATAGAGTACAAGCAAAGCATTTATGTTAAGATAAAAAGCTCTTTAAGGAAGGAAGAGTCTGCTAACAAACAAGACAGACATGCGTGCCCACACACACACACACACACAGAGTCCAATGGAAGAGATCCAAAAGGTGGCACATGCAACTGGGCTCATGAAGTTTAACCCCTCTCCCTAAAATTGCTACACAGCAGGTTGGTGTACCCTGTTAAATGAGGTGAGCAGGGGTAGGTAGGCAACAAATCAGGCAGAGACACTTTACATGAGTGGAGCACTTTAGTCCATAGAAAACAGATTTTGGATCCCACCTTTCTCAGATTATATACTGGAAATGCAACAGTAACCTTGGGTGAGGACAACCTATCCAGTTTTCTTTAAAATAAAAAAAAACCAAAAGCAACATGCACACACACAAAGCAACATGTTGTTAATGAGCTAAATGTTAATATTAGTGAACTAAATGAGAGCCATATACCTTGAATTAGATTCAACAGTGGTCAGGTAAACCTCCTGCAAAACAAAGTAATTCATTAGCTACAGATTGTAAGTGAACCCTGTTACCTATTCTTCTTCTGACTAACTGGCTCATATAATAGCTGGCATTGTTCCTCTCTTTTCACTCACATTACTTTTCACACTCTGTGATCTCTCACCTCCCATTCATTTTAGCTTACTATTAACTATCAGTACTCACTTGCCAGTGGCATGGGTTACCATGTGCTCACTGGGGCAAATTGAGTCCCAGTGAGCACATGGTAAGCCATGCCACTGGCTTACCATGGGGCAAAGCTTTCCTAACATGGAACCACAGTTGATTAATGAAATGTTTGGGGATCCAACTTAAAAACTGCTCTGGCATAATAGCAGCAGCATAAATTTCGCAAACTGAGTGAAATTGCTACGAGTTAAGATGTCAGCATAGGCATTTGCTGCCAAACACCAAGTCATGTGGTTGATGTTCAACAGCAAATGCCTATGCCAACTTAATTTGCTGCCATCCACAAATTAAATTTACACCAATGGCATCACACCATCAAGTGTAACTGATAAGATTTTGGCCATTGCAAAAAAGAGACGGTAAAGTCAGTGCATGAAAAATTGCCACTTCAGTACCCAAAGGATTGAACTTCTGAACTGGATTACTTTAAACATATCTCAGCACTGCAGGCAAACTGGGTATAGTGATACATGGCATATAAGAAAGCATGTTGGATAAAAATCAATGGTTTTCTTTTAATCAAATTGATTTAAAGCACAACTGAAATAACTATTTAAATTTTAAAAACAGTTTATTTAAATCATATTTAATTTAAGTTTAATTTAATTTAATTTAAGAAAGTCATTTGTCTTGGGTCGAACTTCTGGTCTGATGCCAACCTACCTAGCATTGCTAAAGAAAAAAATGCCTTTGGTTGCTTCCTTCTTTTCACAGCTGAAAGGAAGACCACTTTTGCTTTGTACGCAAAAGGTCATGGGTTTAATCTTGGCATCTCAAATTAAAAAGAACAGTCTTTTAAAGTACAACTGCTTGAGAAATCACCTGCCAGTTGGAATAGATACTGAAAAGCTAAATATACCAGTAGTGTTGTTTAAAGAAGACAACTACATGTCATAGAAGATGTTTTATTTTTCTGTAGTGTGCACACTCCACAATAATCTGAAGACTAGAGTTAGGAGTGTGGAATTTCCTGGTGTGGTATACTATCCTGCAAGATTTTGTAGAAAATAATCCCTTTGATGGTTCTGCAAATGCATTTTCAATATTACAGTGAACAGCTAAAGACTGCCAGAAACATCTGTTTTACTAATATGGGGCATTGCAGAACAACAAAATCCATGCATCAGGTGGAAGAACAGAATGAAATTACATTTTCCGCTGTTGGGAAAATAACACAAATAGCTAGGGAACGTGCTCAAGAACAGATCCGCTGGTTGCACATGAAGTACTGCAAGACTTACAGAGGAAAGATGGAGCATGGTTTATCCTTTTAAACCCAAAGTAGTAATTGCCAGAATGGGTACATGTTAGAATTGTGCCAACTTTCCTTTTTTTCCTTAGCACAACTTTCTGAGTGTTCAAAATGTGGTTCTATTTAGTACTTACTGTAAAAAAAATAAATAAAAACAAAACAAAAGCTATCCACTACAATGTAACACTCTAATTATGGAACACTTTCTCCTCTGGAACCAATTTAGACATCTTTCAGACACCAGGCAAAGACATTTTGCTTTTCTCAAGCTTTGGGACAGTTTTAACAGTCTAACTCAGCAGGATATTTTTTCCTTTTTTTGTTGTTGTGAGTGCACACCAGTTGCCATTTGACACTATTTCATATAGTTTATTATTTTATTTATTGTCCCAGGACCTCTTTTGGTAAAGAAAGTGAGACATACATTTAGTAGATTAAAATAACTTTTTTTTTAGAATTTGAGGAGATTCAATGCAGCACTACTTCAAAATAATGTCATCACATGTATAGCCTTGAAGTCTTCAATTCACTCTAAAATTTAGGAGTACATAGTCAGTGGTATTGGATGGGAGGTTCATGACACCAACATTCTCTACAGTTAATAGCCAACATGTCACAATTTGTGTATCACAAATCCTGTGCAGTATCTCAATATATCACAAGTTCTGCATCAATATAATTTGTGTATACTAGTTTTACAAACAGTTCAACCCAGCCAGCAGAGCAGTATGAAACAATAACCTTTAATGTTTAAAAAATATTCCAATACTGCACAGAATTAGGGAAGTATTACAGTATTTAACCCAATGCTAATACTGTAGTATTACTCCAATATCTAAAAGTGCCTTCAAGAAAAAGTTCTTACATTCTACACACCTAAGACAGGGATGGGCAACTACAGAAAGTCTTGGTGGCATTTTCTCACCAAGAACCCAAGAGAATCATATAACCCTTGCCAAACTCAGCAGCACAACAGCCACAGACATAAAAACTCCTGCTTGAATAACAATGTGTGGGTACATTTGTGGGCGCTCACACTGCATCCTGTTTTCGAATGACAATGTGGAGGCATTTTACGTCTGCTGGCACACCATCAACTTGAATTGTTAACAGCAGGAGCCATTAAAATGAAGTGGGGACTACTTAGCCCTGATTTAAGATATCCAACCATGTTTCAGTTTTAGTTCCATAGGCCAGATCCGAAGCTGTTTTTCTCCATTAAGATGCTCCTTTATGTACAGAAGGATTATCATACGCCTTAGCATCCATTGCTTAAGAGGCATAAAACGAAATTGTTGTCCCAGCTGTGCAAAATATACTTCACTTGGTCCATACTCAGATGTGTAAGAACTGCTGTAAAAGTTCACTAGTGTAGTCTTGTGTGGACTCTTGAACCAATGTTCACTAATGGTGTAATAGCAGCAGCTCCAGCCCCAACTCCCTTTTTCTTGTTCAAATGTTAAATAAATCAATTTCCAAGACAAAGAATGTATCTAAATGCTAGACTGGACTGAAAAGTTTAACCATATTGTGGATTTGCAAAATGTCCCCAAAAGTAAATAGATCAACAATCCAAATCTACAGACAATCCTAGGATCATTAACACATTAAAAGGCATCCAATTCATGTAGGGAGACAGAAAGAAAAGATTACGCTACAATCCCTATCATCTTTCAAAAAATCCAAAATCCTTAAGAGAGCAGTTGTAATTATTAGCTGGGTCACATTCATTCAACAAATTACAAACAGTACAGCTTGCTTAGAACCTTACAGAAGCTCCTGCCATCTCTAAACTGCCTCCCAAATATGACAAAATACAGGAATGTTATTAAAATGATAGAATAGACTTGGGGTTTTTAACAGAGCCCCACTCAACCACTGGTATATATGTATGGAGCTCAGATGAAAAACAGCTCCACTCCAACCCGGGATCTATCACCTTCCAACATGGGGAAGTTAACAAGTCTGAAGAGGGACACCTCCGCTATCGGTAGAGGATATCCCCAGGAGTTGGGAACTTGAAAATTCAAGAGAGTGCTACAGACAGCAAGAGACCTCCTACCTCATATGTATCATTCCCCGTGTGCAATGTTCCCTCTAATTTTCCAAAGCACTGCACAGAGGCTTTGCCCTGTGTGTGCAGGGTTCCAGCTACAACCGGAAGAAAACAGCTGGCAACACTGGCTTAGCTGTGCACACCTGCACAGTTTAGGGCAAATGCTGCCATACGTTAGAAGGCAAGGGAATAGGGTGGGGGGAGAGGGACAGAATTAGCACATGAGATTTACATGTGGATACAAACAACTAAACGGGTCTAACAAAATGCTTACAGGTGGCTTCTGAAGTTTTTCCCGGTCATCCTGAAAGGAAAAAAAAGAAACAGTAGTAAACCAGATTAGCCAGAATGCTGGAATTTACTGAGAATAAACCACTTTATAACACTGTGATCTTGTTCACCATACTAGTTTGCAAACATACACAAAACACAAAAAGGGCCATTTCAAGATCATGGTTTATTCAGAGTTCGGTGAACTGACTATTTTGAAGAACAGCTCCCAAAGTCCCTCAGTCAGCACGGCTGGCTGTTCTATGTTCTGAACCACATCTTTTTTTTATAAAAGGGTTTGCTGATAACTTCTGTCATACTTCTCTATTACAATTTATCCTACCGAGTTCATATTCCATTTGTTTTCAGAAAAGATGTACTGGTTCACTCCACAAGAGAGAACACAAAAGTGAACTGCACAATCCAGGCTATACCCTTTCTGACAGTTTCCTGTTAACATCTAAGCAATCAGACAAGATTTACTTTTTTAAAGTCCTCCAGCAAAACAGAAACAGCTAGGGAGGGATGCTGTACAAAGAACCAGTGGGTATAGCACTATAATAAAAATGACAACAACACACTGATAATTTGCTTCATCCTAGTTTTCCAACTGTTTTGATACTAGCAAAGCATTATTGCTTTTTTAGATGGGGCAATGCTATAACTCAGGAATAATACTGTGGCTTTTAGGAATGAGTAAGACAGTACGTAATTGCATATAAAATTTGTTTTGCAAGGTTATGAACTTAGCACTTGCACCAAACACAACAATAAACCAAACATTGGACAAGGACTAAGTTGCACGCAAGGAGGTTGCACTTTAGCAGAAACACCAGGAGCACCTGTTTACTCAAGATGAAGAGAGGAAATCAAAGTATATGTTGTTAAACCTGTTTAGCTTTTGCTAGATTTAGGCTTAGTCTGGTAGTTTCACAAAGCAGCTCAATCCAGGATGGCACTTTTCATGATGGAAAGAGTCAAGCAATCCCCAACATATTTATCACCAAGGTTATCATCAAAATGAATTTCATTAAACATGATTAGAATTTCATGAAGATAGTGGCTGAAATCCTATTGCTCAGTGTTGTTAGTCACACTTCATAGTGGCTGCTTGCTAGCACAACATTAGTTTCTTCTATACCCTGCTGCAACCCTCTGTATCCTTCCAGTAACAGCTTTGAAGGCTCTCTTGTTCTCCCAGAACTAACTAGTTTTAGGAATGCTCAAGGAGAAGGAATCAATCCTTCCCAGTTTCTCGGATAGAAACATCCCACTGGACCCTGACTGTTGATTACTTTCGGAAAACTAACCTACAGACACTGCATCTATTAAATACTAGTGAAAACAATTCCGTAAAGTGGGTCTGAATCAAAACTTAGCAGCAATCTTTAGAGCAACTGAAGTTGCAAACATTTTACATATTGGGCCTGGAACTAGCCATAAAATGATATGCATTCAAGCAGAAAGAACATACCACCCTGAACAAGCTGATCTCATCCAATTTTCAAGCTAAGCAGAGTCTTGCCTGGTTAGAAAGATGGGAGGCTGCCAGGGTTCTCCAGGCAGAGCTAGGAAAGAAGGCTACCTCAAACTCTGGAGAGCTGCAGCTAGACAGAGTTGACAATACTAAATCAGGAGGAATACTAGTCTTGAGTCAGGATAGGGCAGCTTCCTCTATTCCTAAATGTTTCTTCAGACAGCATCTTCCTGCTGCCAGAAATAATAAACCTGAACACAAAACACATTACTACTGCACATCGCTTCCTTCCAATTTCTGCATGTGCCAAAAATATAACTCAGGGTGTGAACAAATGTGCCTTTTCTAGCCTGAATTTTTTTTTTTTTTTTTTTGGCATATGACTCTGGTACACTCTCTGTAGAGAGCAACACAGCTCCCAACATCATAAACTTGGATTCCCCTGATCTAAATGATTTTTGAAGGCATGACAAGTATCCAAAATGGATGAATGAGAAATACAAAACTCCTGCCCGTGAACAGTTTACTCACTGGATGAACTTCTCCTATAATGAAAGTTTCAGACAATGCCCTGGCATCTGAGGAATGGCCAACATCTTCAAAATTTTCTGTAGCATCTCCTCCTGCTTGTTCCCTTAGGACTTCTTCACCACCTGGGTGCTGCAAGAGAACAAAACATGAGTATTACCCTCTATGCTTTGATGTAATTCAGCACTTTGAGAAGATGTCGTGTTGTGCAATTCTTGCTGTTCTACTAAAACACCAGTATTCCAGACCTATGTGGGCAGGGGGTGCTAGTCTAGCTTTTCTATTTCAATAACTAACCTATATGTGAAATGACAATTACATTATACGATCTGAAGAGAAACCAGAGTACATTAATCAAATGACAGTTTGGGCCTTGAATTAGGACAACTGCCCAAGCCAAACCCTAACTGCCAAAATGAAGAGCAACAGCATTTTGCTGAAATTGTTTTCAGCAGTACGACCACGCAATGCATGTTTATCCAGAGGAAGATACCCAGATGGTTCAACAACATGGACTTCCACATCAGTATGATTAGGACAGGGTCTTAGTATTCTAAGGGTACTGCTTTATGATCTTTGTGTGTTCACAGATGGTTAAAGCGAAACACCACCCCTTCTTTTATAAGTATTGTCTTGTTGTACAAGTGGACTGCAGTGGCAAAAGATTGGAGCTGTGCTTCTGGACTGCACATAAATCTTCAATTTTGTTGGACACCTCTTTAAACTGTTATAATTATTATAGTAAAATATTAATATAAATGTGTGCAGGAAATCTAAGAATTTAGAGATGACAAACTTGGTGTTTGTTTGCTTGTTTGCCAATATGAACTGGATTAACTCTATGTTTTTGCAGGGTTTGGGGTACCACTCTACTCTCAATGCAGGTCCTCTCCTGCCCTACCAAAGTCTGACCAACATCAGCTCCAGCTCTTGCTAGTTTTCTTCTTCGGCCCTTTGACTTCATCAGCACCAACAACTTCACTGCTGCTAGAGCCTAAACAAATGAGTCACAGCAACTATACGAGCTCCACACTATGCAAAGAGCAATTGTTCTAAAGGATTTGCTTAGGAAGTGGAAGCTATCTGGGCAATGTCACATTTCCTGATGGCAGAAGCACCCAGTGATAGTAGTATTTTAATTGTTCCCTACTTATTTCAGTCTAACTAGAACCAATGACAACTCATGGTGGAGAGGCTAAAAACAACTAGATTTTCCTTCTACTACAAAGTTTAATCAAGTTTATTCCTGCTGGCAGTAGACCCCTGCCAGTACACAACCATATAAATCACTCCAACCTTGAGATAAATCTGCCAATTATGATTTAACAATATTTAACATACAAAAGGGGAAGGATGAAAAATTTATGGCCAGGATCCTACTATGGATTTACTACCACGATGTACAGTAATGGCTTAAATCATGGTAGTAAATTTCCACAAATTAACAAACTGCCTTTTACATGGCAAGTTGTGCAACTAGGAATGCAAGCAGCAACTCATTAATTAGCAGCAATTCACCACCATGATTTACATGATTACACTTATACCAGTGTAAATCTACAATATGATTCTGGCCAATCTATTACATGGACCAAAATGCTGCTGCATAAATTAGGTTTGCATCACTGGCAAAGGAAGATGATTACCCCGCAAAACGACAAATCTGCATGACGACAAGGTTTTGCAATCGCCACTGCGCTTCGCAAAACAGTGTTTCCTGCACAACGACTATTTTCCCCACTGGAACGCATTAAACGGATTTCAATGATTTCCAATGGGGAAACGCTTTTCGCAAGACGATGTTTTCGCTAAACAGCTATTTCAATGGAACGGATTAACATTGTATTGCAGGGCACCACTGTACAATTAAAGACTGCAACATTCTGTCCTGCAGCTTGTCTGACTCACACATAGTCCATTTGAACTGCTATATAGCTTAGTGGTTTAGGTCTTTGGCCGAGGAGCCAGAGGTTGGGAATCTGATTCCCCACTGTGCCTCCTGGACAGAGGCTGGACTCGGTCATCCAGAGTCCCTTCTAGCTCTGTAGTTCTAAGATTACGATTATGATGGTGATGATTTCCCTGCATGGAAGCCATGGGAAAGAAGGAGGAGGTATTTAACTGCTCAAAACCTTCATGACCAGATGATATTATCACCAGGGACATTTTAGGTAAATAAAGACTTCCTCCTTCTGTCCCATAGCTCCCACAACATGGAATGGATTATTCACAAACTAGACAAACTGTAGGACAAAATGAGGAAGTTTGTAATCTTCAAAATCTTTCTCTGCTGGTGTCATTATCAGACTTTCATACACATAATTTATACAACAGAATTATGGCCATGATATTTTAAATGCCCCTCAACCTGATACTGTGCATATTTTAGCTATAAAGGAATTCAAAGAGATGTATGCAGAACTTGTTCACTCCAATCCTGTTCCAGAATTAAATTCATGCCAGATCTATGTGATGACTCCTATGGAGAAAAGCAGCCAAACTTCTGTAACAATTCAATAACAGAGAATTAGCAAAACCAAAAAAGGCATCATATTCTTACCAATAGCAGGCATGGAGAACAAAGCAACTTAAATGCAATACCTATGTAGGAATGCAATACCTATGTAGGACAACAGGGAAAAATGCAATGTTTGCAAATACATTGGTCAAAAATCCTGTGGTTTGACATAAGCCAGATAGTAAATTTCAGTTCAAACCTCCCTCATAAACAAAGTACTGTACTGTATTCTCACTGTGATTCTTGGGGAGGGAGTGACCAAACACAAAGCCCCCGAGAAGTGTAGCAAGAATGGTTTGATTACCTGGGAGGAACAGACTGCAAGTTACAATTTGGGTTATGCTATGCAATAGGAATTTGGCTGTAGTGCACTAAGCTAGCTTTAATCAACATATTGTTTTCAGATACACTGGACTGCAGTCTACATTTTTCATGGCCAGTATCTGGGGGTGATGGAGGTCATAGTACAACATATTTGGAAAGCATCAGGTTGAGGAAGGTTGAATTGCACACTTTGGCATTGCTTCTTCCAGGAAAATGTAGGCAAAGTCCAGTTGTGTTAGCTTAAAATCTATCTGACACCTATTAACAAATAAAGCATGAATACAGCAAGAACCTAAATCATACTGTTCAGAAAATTAAACAATCTGTAAATGCCTTGGATACTTTCTCAAAAAACTCCACATGTTGGTCTCTTGCATAATGATTAAACTTGTTTCTTCCCACAAATAAAATACTTAGGTTAAGAAAATGACTGCTGCTTATGCACAGTGACTAAGCAAAAATATGCAGACCAAAGATTACATGTAATCACAAAAGCAAAATAAGGTTAAGGGAGTGCATGCAGAACAGAGATTATGCAAGAAAGAAATGCAAATACTACTGACAAATCCTGGCCTTGAATCAGTTCTAACAGCTACGCCTGCAAAGAAATTGAAGCAAAGGTCTCAACCTAAGTTGACTGCTTTGAGATTTATAATGTGCTCAGCAAACAGAATCCCCAGAACAGGTTGGACAGCAAAACTCGCTTTCACAACAGTACAGAAATGAGTAAATATGCCATTTCAATACAGAGCAGTAATGTATAGCTACAAGGGAAAGTCTTTTTGTGAAACATTTTTAAAGAGAGCAATATACAGTATAAGGTCACACTACTAAATAAACTAGAACAAAACATGTGTTGCTCTATATTATGGGCATAATTCTGTTACAAATAATTATTTTTAAATGGGGGTTATAGAAGAACGTTAGGTCAAAAATCAATTCATTTTTGATATAAAAACTAGAATACAGTATTTGGCTAAGTAAACTTATGGTAAGGCCATAAGCAAAGACAGAAAAATTTACTGGGATGTAAAATGTGTTGAAAGGCAGTTCAAGAACACAATATGCCTTATTTTGAAGATAAGAAGCATTCAGTCTATCAGATAGTATTGTAATCCAATTCCCAACATCCCCAAATATCGACAACAGCAAGGGAGGAAGGCAGCCACAACCCAACAACATCTTGAGGGTATTACTTGGAAATAACATGTTCAATTCAAGATCATACAAGTGGACGTATTAAGATGCAATAAGCATACAGATCTATTTTAACATATAATTAGTAAAGAGAGCGATATAAAATGGCCAGGATTCTACTGATGTACACATAAGGTTTGGGTAACCTGCTGAGAGTAGCTGAAGCTACTAGTCAAGGTGCTGGCATGTGCCTCAATTACTACTTGACTGGACAACCAAGTTGTGTCCCCTGGCCATTATCAATTAGCTGCAATTACCCCTGGCAAGTTATGGAAACTTTGCCAGAACACCAAGAGGATTCCACCAGCCAATATGATTTACAGTGTAAGTATATATTCATAGAGAAAAAGGAAGTCATAGACAACCACATTTGCATAGGCAAGTCTTTGCAGAGGCAACATTGATGACACATCATCATCATCATTATGTGCCATCAAGTCAATTCTCATTTATGATGACATTTTCAGTTTTCCAGGTAGAGAAACGGAACACACAGGTTTACCATTCCCTTCTTCTGGGAGAGACCTGGGACTGTGCAGCTTGCCTAAGGTCACACAAACTGGCTCCAGTTGTAGGGGGGAATCAAACAGTGGGGAATCAAACTCCCAGCCTCTGGCTTTGTAGCTAGATATCTAAATCATTGAGCTAGCACTACACTGTACTAAAATTCAAAAACGTGTAGAATTAATGATTAAGTCCTTTTCCTTTCCACATACTCAAGTGCATGCCAAACCTTGGAATCCTAAGCATTCACTAGATGTATTTAGAGGGGTGATGAAACTACTTATCTTCATATAATAAATGGTTGCTTTCAGTGATTAACACGAAGACCAGTTATTTGGCCGATGTGTACTACAGCAGAGAGCAAAAGAACAAAAGATAATGATGGGGAATGAGGAGCAGAAATAGTGTTCCTAACCATTATTTTGGAGCATAAATATTAAATTCATCAGGCAGCTACAACTCCACAAATTGCGGTGCCCTGGCAACACAGATTTACACAATAATTACCAAGCAGTTAGGGTCAAGTTATAATTCTGTACGAACAGAATGTACAAATGCCCCTGGCTCCTAATATATTGGCTGAAATCCT